CCTATTGTAAATTTATTTTATTATTTTTAACAGATGCTTTAGTGTCATGTATAAATTAATGTACATTATAAAAACGTCTTAATACATCCTATACATTGTAAGTTCACTATTAACTAATATATGGTTTTAAAACATGCACAAATTAATAGAATTTTGGAAATAATGGATGCTTCTTCCCTTATTAGTCCATTAAATCAAGGGCCTGCTGTATTCCATGATATCATTCATAATCTTGATTTAATGATATAAATCCATTTCTAAAATTTAAAGCAAAATTGTTATTTTTTATTTAAAGCAAATAAACTTTTGAGTAGATTAAAAATAGCTTATCAGGATGACAATTTAATTTTAATACAGTACTCCCAATAAGACCAAGACACATATGCAACATCAGCTTTTTTGCCTGATAAGAATAAAACCAGTGTTTATATTTGTTTATCATACTGTCAACATCGATAAACTCGTTATGTTAAATGAAATGGAATGTAGTGAGTGTGGTTTAAAATAGTCACAGACAAGGTTTAAATAGGTGCATTAAGATAAGTAAGCACATAAAGAACAACAACAGCAGTGACAATATTAAAGTACTGTATTTAAGTGCAGGTTGTGTTTACCTACTTCACAAAAAAGTTTTTTAATGTTGATGCTCCTAATATCAGTACATATTGTTCTATCAGAGACAGTATACTTAGCACATATAATTAAAATACAGGTATATATACAGTACTGTATATTATTTATCTTTTTGCCTGTAAAAATCTCAATTGAATTCTAAATAGCAAACAGATTGGATGGACACTAAATGGCACACAAAAATTACGGCAAAACGTAAATACTGATACATTGATTAATTATTAATTCATCAAAAAACGATGCGGGTAGAAGAACGACAAAGAAAAATGAAACTTGTTATGAACGGAAGGGTGGACGAAGGTCGGTTTAGGCAGAGTTTGAATGTCGAGTTACGAAGGCGGTTTTGCTAGCCATTTCCAGGGGTGGGAAATGTGTTCAATATTCTAGCATTTATAATAATTATGATATAATGACTAACAAAAATCGATGTAGGGATTTGTCTGCTTTGTAGTTATCGAATAGGTATAAGTTTTCAAACATTTTGTGCTTTTTTTCAATAAATGATTTATAAAGAAAATTACATTATTAAAAATTAGATGTAATTTTCATCTAAGCCTCCACAAAGCTATTAAGATCATGAATGCCAGAATACCGAATATCTTCTCACACTTCAAAGTGGCTGGCAAATCTCCCTCGTAACACGATCTTTGAACTTTCACCGCAATAAACGCAGTTGTAACAATTTTAAGTTTCTTTTTCGTTACTACTGTACTATGGTTCTTGCTGAATGAATGAATAACTCAGGAAAAGTTTATGGTTTTTTTGCTACCGTAAGCTTAATTCCAACAATAAGACAGAAGTTCAATAACATTAATATGTATGACGTAAATTATGATTGACAACTTGACCAGATTAAGCTTCTCTAACAGATAGAGTATTCTTAGGCTTTTTACAACCCGCCCTCTTCCCCCTTCCTATTTTCTGTATTTTTGACGCCTACGGTCAAAATTCATCTTCTGAAAGAGTATTTGAACCGATTCTTTGTTTTAGTTTAAAATATTTCGTATGTAATTAATTTTTTCAGAATATTGAAGCCGAGACTTTACGTTTTCGTAAGGTTGGTTATGGACGACGGCATCTGTTATTTAGAAGTAAATGTAATAGATGTCCTATTTGAAGGGTCTGGGGATAGTTAATACCCGTTAAGTAGAGCTGTCCGCTATTCGAGAGTGTCCGTTAATGGAAGTTTCACTGTATTATTTCTTGTTTACAGATCTGACAACTTTGGAATTGTAGAAGTTCGTAACCAGAAAATATTTCCAGAAGCATTTTTAGAGTGAGAAAATATCAACTTTTAAGTCGCCTTATATTTTATTTTCTTCATAATTCCACCTTATAATCTTATGAGTTAGAGCATTCCGTTTTAAACATTATCGGTTTTTTTTAAATGGAGAAATCATTTATAAATAAGATGTCTGTCTAAAAATTTAACTTATAGTAATTAGTAATTACGAATAAAGCATTCATAATTTGTAATTATGATCAGAATTACAAATTATGCAAAAAGAGTTTGGCGTCGTTTTCCGCAGCGGCATAATTTAGAACTAATGCTCGCTCAGGATCTAGAGTAGTGTTTCTCAACGGGGGTGATATCACCCCCATGTGGGCGTTTTTCCATGTTGAGGGAGCGATTAGTAACAATTTATATTTTGGGGTGCGAAAAACAATTTTCTGGGCAATATAGTAAAACATTATATTAAGAATAATTGGAGATNAAGACAAATTGATGAGATTTGAAAATTGCGTAAGTCGGGGTATTACTGTAATTTTACTTGTTTTTAACTAAAAATTTATTTTTAGTGTGTTAATATTTATACCGATCCCATTGGTTTTTAATAATTGAATTTATATTTATACTGTATATATTATTTGTTATGTTATTTATCTAATTCACAATCTTTCTGTGAAAATGTGATGCTAAAGATCTTTGAAAATCTTTAAGTTATCTTTTCTCATTTAAGACACTCATTTAAGTTATCTTTCAAAATATTTATTGCATAAATATACAATAAATCATAACCTGATTTTAATAATCAGATATATCTAAAAGCCAAATTATGTTGTTGAAAATAGTCCAAAAATCTGTATTTTATATGTTTGGATATTAAAATATATATGATTTAGTGTATATATGTTTATTTATATATATAATTTATGAAAAGATACCTTAAGTTGGAAAAGTAAATTTTGCTGTAGATCAAAAAAATAATAATTAAGGTCAAAATTGTTAGTTTTTAGGTTTTCATATGTTAGGTGTCAGTACAAAATTACAAAGTAACCAAGTTTCTTTATTTGAACATAATTATAATTAATTTTCATGCAAATTTGAAGAAAAACTTTAAAGCCATTTTCTAAGTTATGATTTTACAAACTAAACTTTCAAAATTCTGTATCTTGCTCAATTTTTAAACACTTGAACTATATTTCTTTTTAAATATGCCTCTTAGTCTGTGGAATAAGATACACTCAAAAAATGAAAATTGACTTTTCAAACTTAAGGTATCTGTTTTTATAGATTGCATAAAATACACAGGTTGTCTAAAAAGAAACCAAACTTTTGTTCTTGGAAAAAAAACTACAAGTAATATTTTTATAAATATGTTTATTTATTCAAAATAAGATCCATCTGCAGCAATACAATGTTTGGAATGAATAATTAGCATTTCAAAGGACTTTTACAGCTCCTGTTTTGATACATGGTTCAGTAATGTGGTCAGAGCAGTTTCAATCTCAGGAATGTTCTTGTAATGAGTCCCTTCATTGGAATTTTAAGTTCTGGAAATGAAATAGTCACAGGGATCCAGATCAGAAGAATATGGTGGATGGTCTGGGATTACAGTACCTTTTCAAGCCAAAAATTGACAAATGGCAGTGCTCTTGTGCAAGGGTGCATTGTCGTGCAGCAGTGTCCAGCTTCCTTGAGCATGATACTCAAACCATACACACAAAATTTGCCAAAGATGTTCGAAAATACCCAAATAATATTCTTCAGTAACTTTCTGGCCATTTGGGACAAATTCTTTGAGCATGATACTTTTGGAATCATAAAAACAGACGAGCATGGTCTTGACCTGTGATTTTTGGAAACAAAGTTTTTTGTGTGGGCTTGTCTGATGACTTCCACACAGAACTTTTTGTCAACAGATTGTATTGGTAGCACCATGTCTCATCACCTGTGGCAATATTTTTGAGAAAATTTGGATTGTGGGGAGCCATTTTGATGATGTCCTGTGCATGATGAATGCATGCCTGTTTTTGTTCCTTAGTGAATGAGTACGGAACAAAGTGGGAACAGACCTTACGTTTGTTCAATTGATTACATAAAATTATGTGGACAGAGTCCTTTGACATACCCAACTCCTCTGACAACATTCTACAGGTCACAATCAGATTATTTTTTAATATTTGTTGTACTTTATCAATGTTACTGTCCATAGTCTATGTCTTTGGATGAGCACTTTTCGGATCATTTTCAATTGATTTTTGGCCATCCTTGAATCAACTAAACCAGTTGTAAACTTGTGTTCAACTTAAGCAACCATTCCCATATAATTGTTTCAGTAACTTAAATGTTTTGCTAAAATGTTTTACGCAGAACTTAATGTTGGCACATTGCTCCATTACAATTTTCTGATGAGGGTCATGAAATAACCCTTATGTTTCATGCCACACAAAGGATTGTTATGAACTGATTGAAATGTAATTCCACACAATTGATAATATAATGTTCAAAATTTTGAATTTGACTGTTAATACTAGTTGCGTCATTTAGTTATATTTCTAGAACAAAAGTTTGGTTTCTTTTTAGACAATCCGTGTATATATATATTGTGCCAGAGTAAGATAAAGTCAACTGAGAAATATGAAAGAGCATGGATGTAAATGTTTTTAGTCATTGTAGTAGCAATTAATCTGTATGGTCTGGTAGCAAAAATTGGACAGATATTCAGCTAATACAACTGATAACACATCTATACAGTAAGAAGAAGCTGCAGTTTCAAGTCCCAGTCTAAATAATTTCTAGAATCTTTAAATTTATTTAAATAAAATTCAAAATTAACTTCTAATCATTAATCTTAGCACAAATTTCCAACTTAGCTACCTACTTTTAAGCCAAATTAAATATTAGATTGTTGATTATCTAATGATTAAGGAGTATTATTGTCATATATTAACTGCTTAGTATTTTAAAATTAATTAATTATTTATTTCTTTTTACAGAGTGATTAGTTCTTTAAAAATGTATTAAAAAATAATTATTGATAATTGAAAAATTTATGATCTTAAAATATAATTAATCTATAATTGAATTGTTCATCATTTATTTTATATCTATTTTTACATATTGATTTTGTTTTATTTTTAAGTAATCTTAGAATTGACTCACTATCACAAATGTTGAATATGTGCAATGTCAGGCATGGAGGAAAATATATTGTTGTAGATTCAGTATTTGGATTAATGGTAGCAGCAGTTCTTGAAAGACTTGGATCAGAAGGCAGTATTATTCAGTTATATCTTGAACCTGGTCCAGTTAGGTAGGAAAATAATTTATCATTTTCTATATAATCATATTTAAGGTTGTTAATTAAAATATTTTTTTACTTTTATATTTAAATACTAGTTCATACAGACAAGCAGTTAATGCTCTTAATATTCCATCTGAAATACTTGAGAAACTGTTATTTGGTTTACGTTTAAATGAAGCTATGAATGAGAATTTGAATCCAGTAGAATGGATTGAAACAGAAGTCAAGGAAAGTTGTGAGAAAAATACTAATATTCCAATGGAAGATAACAGAACAGAATCGTTTGAAAAAGAATATTTAATAAAGGTTAGATAACTTCTTTATATTAAAACAGTTACTTTCAAATTTTATATTTTACAATTAAACTATATTTTCTTCTGCTTAAATGTCTTTTTTAAATGTATAAATGAATTGAATATTTGAATATTTTAATTAATTAAACTAGCATATTTTTGCTTTTTGTTTTCTGAAATAATTATAATAATTATTTTTTAATCATCACTGTTCCTACAGTATGTTATAGTCATTATTTTATCAGCTAATATCATTTTCAAATAACAGTTGCCATATAACAGTTGATGAGGAAATTATTTGACATCTTAAAATGAAAATAAAAGGATGGTATTCAATTTTGATATAAGATATTTGTCTAGAACACAGGTTCTCAAACTTATTTTGACCACCGCCCACTTTGAGATTAAAAAAAAATCTAGTGCCCCCATATTTTTTAACTTACCTTTTTACATTACCATCTGTTGCATATTTTAAAAACAGTTATTGCAAATATAATATTTAAACATGCATTATTATATGGCTAGGATAGATAGGGTGTGACCCATATCCTATTTCTGAGATCAAAGAATGTTTCAATGAGAGGAAATAAAACTCATATTTAATCACTGAGCCTTCTACTGCTCCCCAGAAAGCCTTCAGTGTCCACAAGGGGGCATTATCACCCACTTTGAGAAAGGATGGTCTAGAATCTTCAAAATTTTTGTTTCTTGAATTTGTCAGTTATGTATCAGTACTATTATTGAAATAAATCTCATTTTTCTTATTTCATATTCCACTTCATATTTTACTCTATTTCCAAACATTAGCCAGAGCACAATTAATTAAAATTATTAAAATTCACCATTAAATACTTTTAAAAATTAAATATTTTAGACTGTATATAATTAGATGTAGAATGTGTAATTTATTAAAAATTTAAATAAATTCACATAGGAAAAAGAAAAAATGATAAGGAGAAACAAAAGACAAGAAGAACAAAAGAAAGCTAAAGCAATATTAAAGGAAAATAAAATGGATGGGTAAATATAACATTATGATTTTAAGTTTATTGAATTAATTTTTTTATAACAAATATTTATATTATAACAGTCTCTTAATAGCATGCAAACATCATCCTAAAAATATGCTATTGAAATTACTGGAATTTCTTTCTCCTTCAAGTCCATTTGCAGTATTTTGTAATTATCAAACTCCATTAGTTGAGTGCTATAGTGAATTGAAAGAAAAAGGAAATGCAATATTAATGAATCTTACTGAAAGTTGGTTAAGGAATTATCAGGTAAATTTCTTAAAATTTGTTTTAAACATATAAATAGTGAAATGTAAATTTTTTGTTATGATAATATGAAATAATTATCATACTAAAATTTTACTGTTTATGAAAATTTTCAAATTATTGTATAAATGGTTCATTCAGTATGAACTTGAAAATATAACTATTACATAACCATAATTTTTAGTTTCATAAAAAGATTTGGCTTAAAATGAATAGATTGTTAATATAAAAATCTATATGAGTTTCATTTTAAAATTGTATCAGTATTACTTATATTGAATCGTGATATGAAGTAAAAATAATCATCATTTTTAATTCTAAAAACATCAATTTTTTTGCTTTAAAAATTACAAAATGGTTATTAGAAAGCAAATATTTTGTCTGTATAAATTAGTGAAAGAAATTGTACTAATTTTTAAAAAGTAGAAACATTTCTTTACAATTTAACATTATTATATCTTTTGACTGATCTTGATCTTTAGAATTAAATGCATTTTTGGCCAGATGGTCACATGACAAGGTGTCATTGTACTGTAATGGAATCCAGGTTCAAATATGACGCATGTCCCATAATTTATCACAAGTAGTACTGGAAAGGGTATTGTTCTCCATTACATTGCTCACTAATTCTAGTGAGTCAGGTGTACATTGAGTATAATGAGCAAAATTGTGACTGGGGTCACATAGTCTTAAATATATTGGTGCATCATGTTTACAATTCAGTCATATAAAGTTTCTAATAACATTGTATACTGTAAACATTGTAACTGAATAAAATGTATAATGGAACAAAATGAAATTAATAATTTAACAATAAATGATATTTGTAAATATGTATTTATTTAATTTTGAAGAAAGTCAAAAATTGGTAAAAAAATTTTAAACATTTTAGAAAATTCAACTGTGTGAAGATTATTATTTGATTTGTTTCTTTATCAAAAGTATATTTTAAATGCAAACTTAAAACATTTTTTAACTACAAATAACAAATTCTGTAGTCCTCAAATAACTATTATAATAATCAATAACTCAAATGATATTTTATAATAATGTTTATTAAGATTAATTTAGTTCCAATATATTACAACTTTTTTTGCTATGTGTATTTGAAATGAAACATGTAATTAAGGTGCTAACTTAAACAGTGAAACATAAGTTCACAATTTAGCTTTTGATTAAAATTACATATACAATTTCATATTTAATAAAATATTTTATTTTGTAATCTATTGATATTATACATTAAAAAATCAAATAATTGAATCTTAAGAAACTTAGATCATAAAATCAGTGATCACAAAGTACAGGATGTAAACAAAAACAGTACACCAGGGTATATCTTACTTCTGCTTTGTATTAGCTAGATACAAGTGCGTAAGAGTATAGTTAATCAGTAATGGACTATTTGATGGCATAATTGCCATGCAAACGTAGTTTCCTTTTCTCATGGGGACCCCATAAGATGATGATATATTGATTTGAATTGTTCTAATTAGTTTATGATAAAATTTTTACATATTCATATTTTATTATCTCATGTTCTGTAATTGAAATTACATTTGACAAATACAGTAAGTAAAATACAAGGTGTACAAAAATTATCTGTACAACTTCTGTCTTTTATAATAGACAAGTGTAAAAATTCCCATGTTCTGTTATTTTGCAGAGAAATTTATTAAGTTTTTCTATATAAAGTTTTTTGTTAGTACGAAGTTTATTCATTTGTTTTGTTTTGTTTGGATTGGTTATGGAGGTGTAATTCATTGGCTGAGTATATCTTCTGATATCACATACTGTGGTTTCTTCCTTTGGGGATTTATCAAAGATCTTGTGACAATATGTAGGTGACAAGTATTGTTGATTTAAAAAAATAATTACAGCTGCTATTGGATAAATTGATATGGAAATACTGCAACATATATGGAAGCATTTGGAGTATAAGGTGGATGCTTTGCAACACGTTAATGGTGTATGTATCAAATATTTGTAACATTGTTATTTTAACAAAAGAAACTTTGAAAAATACATATTCTAAAATTCTTGTTCGATGATCCTATATGTGCCATCATAAATTTCATTAAGGGATAATTGTACAGGTAATTTTCAGACTTGTACAATTTCCTGTGTTATCTACAAGTATGTAATTCATTTTTCAAATTTGTGTAAAAATCATTGAAATAGTCATCATCAAAATTTGCTACTTTTCTAATGTTATTCTGAGTGATATTTTTAAAATTTTTCAGAATATAATATTCCAATTCTATAATGTCAAAATATTACACTTTTGACTTCTGAATTATTTGAAAATTATATAAATATTTCAAGCATTTAGATAATAAATAAACTTGATGTGTTTTTCTGAAAATTGTAAAACTTTGATGATAAAATATATATATATATATATATATATTTTTTTTTCTTATTTTTATATAGGTTCTTCCAGAAAGAACTCATCCTGATGTTTCTATTAGCGGAAGTGGTGGTTATCTGTTAACTGGAATTAAAATTATTCCTACAACATAAATGAATTTTGTTAAGTCTGTTGCCTATTTTATAAATCATTGTTTATAGGAAGATAAATTGTCTACAGTTTATAATTAAAACTGTATATTTTTAAAATTTTTTCTTCTTGGATTATTTCATGCAATAATTTCAACAAAAGAAAAAAACTTTATAAATGATACAATTTTTTAAAAAACACTACACTGTCAGTACATAAAAATTACAAGAAAGCATATTGAATTTCAAAACTAAATGAATTTTATCATAATTTTGTTTTTATTATAAAATTGAATACAAACTGTATTGCTTAGTTAAAAAAGAAAAGGGAAAAAGTGCAAATGGAAAATTGGTCAAAATCATTTTTCAGATTCCTCAGAAGAAAAACAAAACACCACATAAAACAGTAACATATAATTTTTTAAAAAAGATACGTTATTTATTTATTTTTTTTCAATTTTATAAGTTTATCTGTAATATAAACTTTTTTAGAGTTCAATTAATATATTTTATTTATCTATATTTTGAATTTCTGAATTTAGTTTATTCCAAAGTTCTATAGATATATAGAAGATTGACTTCCTGAGTGCAGAACAGTAATGGATTAGAAGTAACATGTTCTTTTAAAACTGTGTTCATAGTTCTCATATGATATATCTATAATATATAGTATTTCTGAAGAGTTCTCAGGCCTATACCTGTGCAGAAAGCATTCTATTAGTTACACTGTACAGTTTCTGGATGTTTAAAATAGTTTGTTCCTATTGTAAATTTATTTTATTATTTTTAACAGATGCTTTAGTGTCATGTATAAATTAATGTACATTATAAAAACGTCTTAATACATCCTATACATTGTAAGTTCACTATTAACTAATATATGGTTTTAAAACATGCACAAATTAATAGAATTTTGGAAATAATGGATGCTTCTTCCCTTATTAGTCCATTAAATCAAGGGCCTGCTGTATTCCATGATATCATTCATAATCTTGATTTAATGATATAAATCCATTTCTAAAATTTAAAGCAAAATTGTTATTTTTTATTTAAAGCAAATAAACTTTTGAGTAGATTAAAAATAGCTTATCAGGATGACAATTTAATTTTAATACAGTACTCCCAATAAGACCAAGACACATATGCAACATCAGCTTTTTTGCCTGATAAGAATAAAACCAGTGTTTATATTTGTTTATCATACTGTCAACATCGATAAACTCGTTATGTTAAATGAAATGGAATGTAGTGAGTGTGGTTTAAAATAGTCACAGACAAGGTTTAAATAGGTGCATTAAGATAAGTAAGCACATAAAGAACAACAACAGCAGTGACAATATTAAAGTACTGTATTTAAGTGCAGGTTGTGTTTACCTACTTCACAAAAAAGTTTTTTAATGTTGATGCTCCTAATATCAGTACATATTGTTCTATCAGAGACAGTATACTTAGCACATATAATTAAAATACAGGGTATATATACAGTACTGTATATTATTTATCTTTTTGCCTGTAAAAATCTCAATTGAATTCTAAATAGCAAACAGATTGGATGGACACTAAATGGCACACAAAAATTACGGCAAAACGTAAATACTGATACATTGATTAATTATTAATTCATCAAAAAACGATGCGGGTAGAAGAACGACAAAGAAAAATGAAACTTGTTATGAACGGAAGGGTGGACGAAGGTCGGTTTAGGCAGAGTTTGAATGTCGAGTTACGAAGGCGGTTTTGCTAGCCATTTCCAGGGGTGGGAAATGTGTTCAATATTCTAGCATTTATAATAATTATGATATAATGACTAACAAAAATCGATGTAGGGATTTGTCTGCTTTGTAGTTATCGAATAGATATAAGTTTTCAAACATTTTGTGCTTTTTTTCAATAAATGATTTATAAAGAAAATTACATTATTAAAAATTAGATGTAATTTTCATCTAAGCCTCCACAAAGCTATTAAGATCATGAATGCCAGAATACCGAATATCTTCTCACACTTCAAAGTGGCTGGCAAATCTCCCTCGTAACACGATCTTTGAACTTTCACCGCAATAAACGCAGTTGTAACAATTTTAAGTTTCTTTTTCGTTACTACTGTACTATGGTTCTTGCTGAATGAATGAATAACTCAGGAAAAGTTTATGGTTTTTTTGCTACCGTAAGCTTAATTCCAACAATAAGACAGAAGTTCAATAACATTAATATGTATGACGTAAATTATGATTGACAACTTGACCAGATTAAGCTTCTCTAACAGATAGAGTATTCTTAGGCTTTTTACAACCCGCCCTCTTCCCCCTTCCTATTTTCTGTATTTTTGACGCCTACGGTCAAAATTCATCTTCTGAAAGAGTATTTGAACCGATTCTTTGTTTTAGTTTAAAATATTTCGTATGTAATTAATTTTTTCAGAATATTGAAGCCGAGACTTTACGTTTTCGTAAGGTTGGTTATGGACGACGGCATCTGTTATTTAGAAGTAAATGTAATAGATGTCCTATTTGAAGGGTCTGGGGATAGTTAATACCCGTTAAGTAGAGCTGTCCGCTATTCGAGAGTGTCCGTTAATGGAAGTTTCACTGTATTATTTCTTGTTTACAGATCTGACAACTTTGGAATTGTAGAAGTTCGTAACCAGAAAATATTTCCAGAAGCATTTTTAGAGTGAGAAAATATCAACTTTTAAGTCGCCTTATATTTTATTTTCTTCATAATTCCACCTTATAATCTTATGAGTTAGAGCATTCCGTTTTAAACATTATCGGTTTTTTTTAAATGGAGAAATCATTTATAAATAAGATGTCTGTCTAAAAATTTAACTTATAGTAATTAGTAATTACGAATAAAGCATTCATAATTTGTAATTATGATCAGAATTACAAATTATGCAAAAAGAGTTTGGCGTCGTTTTCCGCAGCGGCATAATTTAGAACTAATGCTCGCTCAGGATCTAGAGTAGTGTTTCTCAACGGGGGTGATATCACCCCCATGTGGGCGTTTTTCCATGTTGAGGGAGCGATTAGTAACAATTTATATTTTGGGGTGCGAAAAACAATTTTCTGGGCAATATAGTAAAACATTATATTAAGAATAATTGGATATTTTATTCGTTATATCGTATAATAATTAAACAAATAACATTATACTAGTCACTAGTCTATTCAATGAAGTACAAATTTGGCATTAGCCTTGGCTCTTGACATCAGAATTTTGAAGTGAAGGGGACGATACTACGTAATGGTTTTATTGAAGGGGGCGACGATTCATTAGAGGTTGAGAACACTGATCTAGAGGCTTATACTATCAGTTTTGTCATAGATAGCACTACAATCGTAGAAAACGGGTTCAACTTCATTTTCTTAAAAGGGAATAATTTTAATTGGCTATTATAATTCTATGTCAAAACAAACAAATTTTATCTAAAACATTTTTTTCAAAATATACATTTATCAAGTGTTGTGTATTTGAAGTTTTACACGGCCTCCACACGGTACATGAACGAATCTATGGATATTTGTGAAGGTCCTTGAAAAAGGATTTTTAAAAAATGCTTAAAAATCATTAGGAATATATTATTTGGTGGAATCATTCTTTTTCACCAAATAATGGAATGACAAAAAATACTGCCAAAGGATGTTAAAGGTATTAAGCTTGTATACATAAAAAGGCGCAGTTGGTACAGTACATGTATGTTGTCATAAAGTACTGTGCCTTTTACCCCCAAGGTCTTAGATTTATAAGGTTGCCTCATACAGCCGATTTAGCCACTTCCTGCCAGATTCCGGATATACGTCATCCGTAGTCGAGCCCAAGGTCTAGCGACTGCTTCATTACTGTAAGCGAGGGAAGGAAATTTTGGAATTTAACTATTTTTTTTTAATTTGTCGAGCGTTTTTAGACTCATAATCTTCGAAGGTAAATATATCTATACTTATTGCTATTATTAAACATAATTATGTTGATAATTATATCGATAAAAATTGTTCGGAAGTAACAAAAGTGTTCCTAGAACAGTTTGATATTCTGTTGTAGTCTTTACTCTTCGTTCTGTAGAAATTACAGAATATGGTTACGGATAAAATATATTTATTAATAAAATACTTTAAAATACTAAGAATAGTTTTCTGCATGTATAAAAATAGTATCTGCTCAGTGAAATGACGACTACAAATAATAAGCTGGCCGGTAACAGGATGGTAACACTTAAGATAACCTGCGATGTAAAAGAATATTGTTTATTATTAATTAATATAACTTTTTAAAATATGCATATTTACGCAAATACCTAAATTTTATTATTATTATTTTTAGATGCCAGGAGCAACATGTGCTGTTGCAAATTGTGATAACAGCCATTGTAAAACAAAAGTCATTAGACAGGAAAGTCAGTTATTTTAGATTTCCTAAAGATCCAATAATAAGAAGAAAATGGATCCATAACTGTAAAAGAAAAGACAAATTTAATCCTGATTCTTGTCATGTTTGCTCTGATCATTTCACAGAAAATGATTTTGAAAGAAATTTAAAAGCTGAATTATTAGGTTTATTGGCAAGACCTAAACTAAAGAAAGCTTCACTACCAACAGTAAATTTAGGAAACATAGAAAATAAAAATATTAAGCAGTCAAATGAAAGAAAGAATAGTGTATTAAAAAGAAATAGAAAAAACCTGATAGAAAAACTTTTAGATGTAAATAAACAGGATAAAGGAGAAGAATCTTTTAACAAATGTAACAATTGTAAAACTTTAGAAGATCTTAATTTTAAATTAAAACATGAAAATTCTATTTTAAATATGAAGATTAAACATATTGAGATAAGAATGCAAGCAATCCAAAGAGATCTGAAATTTTGGAAAAGTAAAACTGTCATCCTTCAAAAAGAACATGAAAAATTGAAAAAAATAAATGAAAAAAATAAAAAAGATTTTGTTATATCAATATTGAAAGGTACCTTTACAGAAACACAAATATATAATCTGCTGGAGAGAAAAAAGAAAATTAAATGGAAGAAAGAAGATATGAATTTGGCATTTACTTTGAGATATTTAAGCATAAGATCATATTTATACTTAAGAAATCAAATGAATATCCCGTTACCTGCAGTTTCGACACTTCAACGATGGGCTTCAAAAATAAATCTTTGTCAAGGCATATTAAATGATGTT